GACCTAGGTTTCTGAGCCTCATGGACACCTCTCACTTTCACTGATACCTAGCAAGCTCTGCACATTGACTGCCGAGCCCTGTAAATTGAAGGGGTCTTGGTGTGGAAGCCTAGATCAGCGCCTGTGGAAAGTTGCCTGAAAGACTCCCTTTGACTTGGCAGAGAGGGGCAAGGCAGCCTGTTGGAGGAGGGGGGGCAGGCAAGGAGAAGGCACCTTCAAGGATGACGGGCGCTGGTTCCTCCCAAGCCCCTGTTGTTCGCTGGCATATGGAAAGGTCTGTAAAAGTATAAGGCTTTGGGGGAAGTGGTAATGGTGTCAAGAGGAAGCGAGTAGACTGGTTTTATGCAAGTATGCCCGCAGCATCGAGTCAGTGAGGGCTCCGAGCAGCGGTTTCTACCTAAGGGCTGCCGGACATCCTGTCTTGGCTCTGGGTTAGGCCAGCTCTGGGTTCCGGAGACCTAACTCTGGTCTCCTTGCTGTTGAAGACTGGAATCTGAGGTTTTCTAGGGTTTTCCGAGAAGCTACCAAAGAGCCAATGAGTTTCTCTCTCTGGTCAGCCTTCTTCAGATGTTACACAGCCTGTGGTGTTCTGTTGCTCCAGGCCAGAGCTCCGGGGGAGGCCTTTCCCTGGATACTCTTCACTTTGTTAGGCTGATGATTCTCCACAGCCCATCGTCCTTCCCCTTGAAGAGACAAGGCTCTTCTAGTAGAACCGAAAATCGTGATGGCCTCTTTTTATGGGACAGAAAGGCAGGGAAATATGAGTTGCGGTTCACTTACTCTTCAATTCACTTTAAAAACTTATCTTTTGGTGTTCTGGCGCTAGAAATGGCTATCTGTGTGACTCAGAGGCTCACCAGTGGCCTGCTTATGTGACCCTCTCTCTGGTCCTGCCATCTCTTCCTGACACAGAGAAGACCCTGCATCTACTTTATATGTGAGCTTTACTCTCATGATCTTGGTGGCTAAGACACCTACATTTTGTAATATTAATTTCTTGCTAATATTGATCACAACGTGCCATCAAAACGAGAGGCTCCAGGCACTTGTGACGCCTTCACATTGTGGTTGCTCATTTGCTTATCCACTTTCTGAAGGCTACCATTCAGAGCACAGGCTCTGAAGCCAGCCAGCCATATGGGCTCAAATGTCAGCTTGTCGCTTCCTCACTGTGCTATCTGGGCCAAGGTATTTAACCTTTCTGAGTCTCTGTTTGCTCATCATTAACACCCACCAGAAGACCACAAATAATCAATCACCTGTTTACCACCCCCACCCCCCCAGTAGCTGGCGTCCTGGAGAGTACCTAACAGGTCCTAGCTGAGGGTTTCTGTCATTGTGAGCCCAGGGGCAGGTTTCTGCCACCTGACTTGCTAAGAAAGATCTCTGGTCACTCATCTAGCAATAGTGTGCTGCCCTCTGCCAGGCATTGTGGTACAGAAACCAAAGAGGTTCTGGTCTGGTCTCAGTGAACTACAGGCTTACGGGATAGGGACGGGGCGACTGTGAAGGCGGCATGGTGGGACCCACATGACAGAGAGGTGGTGTAGGAAGTTTCCTTTAAGTTCTTGCTGGAGAACTGTCTTGAAGAAAAACCTTTTGTTGTCCTAGATGGGCCAAGAAAGAGGCCCTCCATCTAGACCAAGAGTGTGCGCACAGGAGGAAGTGAAAGAGAATGAGCAAGCCATGAATTTTTAGGTGTCGTGGGGCTCTGGCTTCTGGGAGAGATGCAGATGGCAGGAGCCTGCAGAGGCTGAGACCTCAGAACCCTGGGACTTGTAACGACAGCACTTTCAAGGAGACAGGACTTGATGGTAGGGAATGGGAGGAGATGCGCCCATGGGTACCAGTGAGGGACGAAGGTTGAGAGGTGGCTGCCTACCCTCGTCTCTCTGTCTCCTGTTCCAGATTGCTGCCTTTGGATTTCACTCTCCAGCGAGCAGACAGCCCAGTCATAGGCCAAGCATGGTGCTCTGTTTATTCGGAAAACAGAAAGGGCTTTTGTCCTTCAAGGAAAAACCAAGACATTGCAAAGCTCTCTGGGAGTCATGTTTCTAGGTGGGATGAGGTGGTTTTGTTGGTGGCTGTAGGTGTGTCCCCTGTCCCTCTTCACTCAGTGGGTTGGTCTCTCATCGCTTGTGTGGTCTTAGACCTAGGCCATCCCCTTCACTTCCCGAACCCAATGGGAATGAATTGGTTTCAAAAGAACTCAGTCTCCACAAGAGAATAAAGCAGGGCGGGGAGGAGGATCTGAAATCACAGATGGCCAGGTTTTTCGATCCACCTGTCTACATCCTTTAACTATGTCTTTAATATGTCCTTCTGCTTCCAGTGGGCTAGAACTACGTTCATGGTGCCTGTCATCTTCTTCACTTCCTTTCAACTTAAAAACTTATTGCGTGTGTATGGGTGTTCTGCCTTCATGTATGTCTGTGCTTGGCGTGTATGAAGAGGAAGCCTGACCCCTTGAAATTGCAGTTACATGTGGTTATGAGCTGACATCTGGGTGCTGGGAATTGAACCTGGGTCTTCTGGAAGGGTATCTGGTATTTGTAATAGTTGAGCCACGCCTCTAGCCTGTTCACTCAGCTTTTGTGGTCACAGAATGTGGACTGCCATCTTGTTTCTGCTGGTGTTTATGTAGCAGCTGCCCATTGCATGACCAGCATGCCTTACATAGAGATGGAAGTCTCATCTCTACCACCTCCGTCCATGCTCACTCCTAAAGCCGGGCTGCCAGCCATGCCGGGAGATGCCAAACTTCTCCAGAAAGATGCTCTTTGGTGTACCATGGCCACAACATCCAGGTGGTATGAACCATCCATGCCCAGGAAGGTATGTTTCTCACAAAAGGTTACTTTGTGGTACTGAGCGGCAAAGGATGGAGAAGTTTAAGAGAAACTAACTGTTGTTCTTTTTTAAAAATGCTGCAAGATCCCCGCGGCAGTAGGCAGCAGAAATGCTGTAGGTCCCAAATGGTGGTGGTGGGCCATGTGGTGGCAGGCAGCGGGCTCTGGGAGCAGCCAGTCCCAGACAGAGACAGCTGCTGGTCTCAGAGCAGTGGTGGCGGGCCATGTGGTGGCAGGCAGCGGGCTCTGGGAGCAGCTAGTCCCAGGCAGAAATGGCTGCCGGTCCCAGAGCAATGGCTGTTCCCAGGCAGGGAGACACATGGCGGGCGGGCAGAAGACAGAAACATGGATAGACACGACATGCAGGGTGAGGTTGAATGTTTATTCAGGGGGTTATGGAGGAGGAAGGGTGAAGGGGGGGACAGAGAGAGAAAGAGAGAGAGAGAGAAGAGGAGAAAGAGACAGAGAAGGGGGGAAGCAGAGAAGTGGGGAGGGAGACAGAAGCGAAGCTGCCTCTCCCAGAGGAAGATGGAAAAAAGAGAGCAAGCTCAGGCGAGAAGCTGAAAATCAGCCTGCCTCAGCAGATGGGAAGGGGAATGGGTGTGGCTTGTCTCTTAAAGGGACCAAAACCATAACATTCCCAGGTCTTCCTTATAATAAAAAGCACGGGCAAAAGGAAGGGCCCAAGATGGCCGCGGGCAGGTCAGAGGTAATGGGAGTGGGCGTGGCTTGTCCCTTAAAGCGACAGGAAAGCACAACACTAACCAAGCAAGATTCATCTTGCTTTTGGTAAGAAAGATATTTTTCTTGTCACTTGGTAGAAATTGCTCTCAGTAACTTCTCCAATGAAGGAGAGACAAAGAAAACAGAACAGAAGTAAGATGAAGGGCCACAAGGGAGGCTAATGAAACCTTCAAAACAATGACAACAAAAGCCAAAGCAAAAGCCAAAGCAAAAACCAAACCAAGCCAAACAACAACAAAAACCAACCCAATTAAACATTGGGGCTGGAGAAATGACTCAGTGCTTTAAATGTGCCTGCTGCTATTACAGAGGGGAAATTAACACCCTCTTCTGGGCACCTGCACACATCTGTGCATACACACAGACACATATACACAAACACAAAGGTGTGTGTGTGTGTACATTTGATTCTGTCTTTGACTGACCTGAGCTTTAGGTAGACCTGGATGGCCTCAAACTCATGGTGTCCACTTGCCTCTGACTCCCCAGTGCTGGAATTAAAGGCATGCACCGCCACGACTTTCTTTGTCACAAGAAAAGTCCTTTGTCACTTTGTGCTAAGTAGGCAGAGTGTGGAAATATTACTTATTTGGTGTTTCCATCTCTTCTTCTACCTAATCCTATCCCTACACTCATGTGGTCCCTGATTCCACTCTGCACCCCGTGTGTGTGTGTGTGTGTGTGTGTGTGTGTGTGTGTGATGTATGTCTGTTGTGATGGGGTGGTACACAGGCTCTGATGCATGCCAAACAATCATTCTACTACTAAGATATATCTCTAGCTCCCCATGGCCACACTTGAGATTTTTTTTTTTTTTGAGAAATGTCTGTTGAGTTACTTAGGCTAGCCTTAAACCCACTCTGTAACTGAGACAGGCATTGAACCTATGATCTCCCTGCCTTAGACTTCCATGTAGCTAAGAGTATCAGCTTTCACTACCAGACCCCAGCTGGCATCTTCTCTTTGAACTGTCTGCATGCAACTAGTGCCAGCCTTCTCTGCTTCTCCCATCATTTTTTCCCCCTGAGGGTTCCTGGCCCTCTACTTCCTCATGGCCTATCTCACTTCTTTAAAGAGGGGCGCTTATCTTGATGGAGCTTGAAAAGCCCTCTGGGGGCGGGGCAGTAAGGGGAGGAAGGCAGAAGAAGCCTTGACAGTGTCTGGGGAAGTAAGAAGGGTAGCACTTTCAGATTTAGCTGCGCAGAACCGTGTCCTCCAGGTTCCTGGGAGACCAGGGATGCGCGGCTGAAGCTGATGGTCCAAGAGAGCATCACCCTGGACGGACTGAGCGAACTGTGAGTTCTCAGCGGCTGCTGCGTGTGGACGTGCGGGCAGATGTCCGGCAAGAGCTAGGTCCTCTGGCCCATACGTGCCCTGCTAACAAGCCCACAGCGTCTCCGAGACAGCATGACACCGGTCAACACCACAGCAACGTTGTGGTTGAAAATCACCTACATCTCCATGGAGGTTATCATCGGGCTCTGCGCTGTCGTGGGCAACATGCTGGTCATCTGGGTGGTCAAGCTGAACCCCAGTCTGAGGACCACCACCTTCTATTTCATAGTCTCCCTAGCACTGGCTGACATTGCCGTTGGGATACTGGTCATGCCTTTGGCTATTGCTGTCAGCTTAGAAGTGAGGATGCACTTCTATACCTGCCTTTTCATGGCCTGCGTGATTCTGTTCTTCACCCACGCCTCCATTATGTCCTTGCTGGCCATCGCTGTAGACCGTTACCTGCGGGTCAAGCTGACAGTCAGGTAACCTGCTTGTAGAAGGGTGAGGCAGCAGTGTGTGTGTGAGAGAGAGAGAGGGGGGGGGGCAGGAAAGTAGAGCTATCAAGTTTGTCTTCTAGACCTGTTCAGTAGAAATGAACCCAAACTGGCCCTTGATGTTTACAAAGGGCAGCAAATGTCTTTGCACCATATGGTTTGTGAAGAGGTTAGGCATGAAGAGCAGGGATTCAGGAATAGGAAACAGGGACACTCTGAGCCCCTTCTCCGTTGAGCATGGCTGTCTACTACCATCCAAGATAGCCAAAGATGATGAAAGCCTGATGTATCTTTGGTTTTTAAAAATCTGATCTCAAGTTTTCAAGATAATAGAGCCTTAATAGATTATCTTGTTTTAGGAGAAGTAGAAAGATGGGCGTAAGAAGAGATAGGCAGCTGACTGGGTGGTTTTGCAGATATAGGTTAGATTTTAACGTTGCTTCTGTCTCTGTCCAGTTATTGAAAAAAAAAAGGTAGGTCCTAAAAATGTATATCCATTGCCTGTGGTGGTGACTCACACCTTTAATCCCAGCACTCAGAAGGCAGAGACAGGTGGATCTCTGTAACTTTGAGGCCAGCCTGGTCTACAGAGTGAGTTACAAGACAGTCAGGGCTACACAGTGAAACTCTGCCTCAAGGAATGTAAAAAAAAAAATGTATATTTTCCTTTTCATCTTTTTTTTAATGACGTGTAAAGCACTTCTGAGACAAAAATATTTTTTGAATATGTGTAAAAATGCTGTGCAAAATGGCAGCAGCTTCCTATGACCATGCAGAGAGAGCAGGCAGCCAATGAGAAATCACATTTCCTGGTTTCTTCCGGCTCCTCTTGGGGAAAGAGCATGAGGAAACTACAAACAAGCCGGAGATGAAAACGAGTCTGAGGTCTTCTCCCTGGTCTTGTGGTCTGGCATTGCGCAGGTTATTTAGCTTTCTCTGCTTCAGTCTCCACGTCTCTGAGTAGCTGTGCATCTGAACCAGGCTTTCTTCCTTTCAGTTCTACCACCTCTGGCTGCTATATGTTACCTAACGCTGTTTTACATTTTTAAAATCTAAAATGAAGATGATAATTTCATCTTTATAAGGTGAAGCCACTAAAGTTAATAAATGCGAAGTTCTCAGGAAAATCCTGCTACAGAGTCTGTGTTCAATAAATGGTAGCTACGCCACTGTCACCAGTAAAATAGAGATTGTCATAAAATATCTCTAGTTTGCTTTGCGGTTTAGTTGAGGTAAGTCTTAGTTTCTTTCTTTTGTAGTCTGTTTGAGGCCATTTAGGAAGGATGATTTAAGGAGAAATTTTGCCTCCCCAGGATGAAACTATAAGCACTTGAGCATAACCTTAAGAAAACACTGATTAACTCAAAGAGCAGCATTGGTGCCCCTGTGAAAGATGGGGCGGGTACAGGTAGAGAGAAGCGTGGAAGGGCAGTGTAACTTGTGAGCTCCAATTCAGCAGCCAGTCGAAGCAGTGCAGAGTACAGCACACCAGCAAGCTTTGGGGAGATTCTCATCAGCTCCGGGGTCCAAAAATGTAGGTAGTGCTGACATTGCAGGACAGCTGGCTCAATAGAGAAAAAGACTTGCTGTTCTTACAGAGGACTTGGCTTCCATTCCCAGCACCCAGCACTGTCCGTAACTCCAGTTCCAGGAGATCCAGTGCCTTCTTCTGACTACCCTGACCACCAGGCATACACATGGTACACAGTTATACACGCAAGCAAAACATTCATATACACAAAATAAATATGAAAAAAAAAGAATTCTTGGAGCCACAACTGAGTGGAGGAGGCATGTAGGCACCTGATTCTTAGAAACATATTGCCGATCATTCTAGTTTTTTTTTTTTAATGGCACCTAACACTGTGGGTGTTTCATCTCTCAGCAGAAGATGAGGGAATTGGGAAGCTTATTACTCTTCCTCCCTTTTCCCAGCTAGACATTTCCTGTTTCTGTGAACTCACCAACTTTTTTTTCCATTCAAACAGATACAGGGCGGTCACCACTCAAAGAAGAATATGGCTCTCCCTGGGCCTTTGCTGGGTAGTATCTTTCCTGGTGGGACTGACCCCCATGTTTGGCTGGAATAAAAAAGTGATCTCAGGGCTCGCCCCAAATATCACCACCCTTTCGTGCCATTTCCGTTCGGTCGTGTCTTTGGACTACATGGTCTTCTTCAGCTTCATCACCTGGATCCTCATCCCTCTCCTTGTCATGTGCGTCATCTATCTGGACATCTTCTACATCCTCCGTAAGAAACTCAGCCAGAACTTATCTGGCTTTCGAGAGACACGTGCATTCTACGGGCGGGAGTTCAAGACAGCCAAATCCCTGTTCCTGGTTCTCTTCTTGTTTGCTTTGTGCTGGCTGCCGTTGTCCATCATCAACTTTGTTTCCTACTTTAAAGTTAATATACCAGAGGTCGCAAGGTGCCTGGGGATCTTGTTGTCCCACGCGAACTCAATGATGAACCCTATTGTCTACGCTTGTAAAATAAAAAAGTTCAAGGAAACCTACCTTGTGATTATCAAAGCTTTTAGGGTCTGTCAGAGCTCAGTTTCCTTGGATTCCAACTCTGAACAGACTACTGACACATAAGCCATCTCACAGCCTTCACGGACAGCACCAGCGAGCCCCATAGGCCTTATCAGACCTTCCTGTTTCCTTCCACTGCCGTGGGATCAGCTGACTGGTGGCCACGCAGTTCCACTCCTCCCGGTCTCTGCCTCAGTTATTTTCTTGCTCAGTTCTGCGGGAGCCTGACATGAAGACCATGCATCACGTGCTGTGTTCTTCCTTCCCAGACACAAGAAGTAATGGAATCTCGAGGGTGTCTCTCAACTTACTGAGGAAAAATTCTAGCTGAGCTGGATGTACAGAATCTGCTTGGAAAGATTCCTAAGACACTGAGAACAGAGGGAGTGGGCTGAGTTTAAAGAGGGCTTAACCGGCTAAGCTGACCTGTGTGGGTGTATTTAGGCAAATAAAAGACAATGGCCAACTGTTGTGCAGCTCTTGGCAGGGATCCTTTGGGGTTTGGAGACACAGGTGACTGCTCTCAGCATTTGTCCTGCTCGCTTCCTGGAACACTGTTCCAAGATGCAGCCTCACCATAGGTGATTGTCCTCTCTGGAAGGTCATCTGCCTTGCGAGACTCTGATGTTCTTAGACTCCAAGGCAACTGGGGGGTTTAGGACCACTGGAGATGTTTAAGTCTGCAGGACATTTAAGGAAGCTGGGACTAAGATGTTAACCCATGGCTTTGTGATTTCAGCCTGGAAGGGGGAGTGAAAGTTGGGTATCTAGATTTTACACAGCGGCTCTGTTTTGGTTACTTCTCTGTTGCTATCACAAAGTGTCATGACCAAGACAGCAGAGAGGGAAGAGCTAATTTGGGCTTCTGGTTCCAGAGGGCTAAGAGGCTATGATGGTGGGGAGGTGGCATAGCATCAAGGGGCAGGCATGGCGATGTAGCTCATCCATAAGTGGGAAACAGAGTGAACTGGAAGTGGCAGAAGGCTTTAGACTCTCAAGTCTGCTGTCAGCACCATGCTCCTCTCAGCAAGGCTGCATCTTTCCATACCCTCTCAAAACAGTGCCCCTGAGAGAGAGAAGACCAAGTGTTTAAATGCCTGAGCCTATGGGGAAACATTCCTAATCCAAACTGCCACACACTCCTTGAGTAATTTACAGTCCATACACACCGGGCAGTGGTGACACACGCCTTTAATCCCAGCACTCGGGAGGCAGAGGCAGGTGGATCTTTATGAGTTCAAGGCCAGCCTGGTCTACAAGAGCTAGTTCCAGGACAGGCTTCAAAGCTACAGAGAAACCCTGTTTTGAAAAGCCAAAAAATAAAATAAAATAAGCAAAACAAAGAAACCAATCCATACACAAAGGTAAGCAGATTGCCCAAATCTTGCTTCCCAAAAATGAAGGCAGAGTGCCAGGCTCCTAGTTATTTATAATCCCAAATGAAGAGTCCTCCCTTATTAGCAAAAACAATGTTTAGGTGCCTGTTATAATTCTAACACTGATTATAAGGCAAAAAGAGACAACTGAAAGCTCCCATCACTTTTGTGTGTGTGCATGTTACTGGGTGTGAAGGTGCGTGTCTTGGGGCAGGGGATGGGTGTACATAAAATTTTGCATATGGAGACCAGAGGACAAACTCAGATATCCTTTTCCCTCAAGTGCTATCCTCTTTACTTTTTGAAATAAATGCCCTTACTCGAGGCTCTACAATTAGTGTAGGTCAGCAAGGCCCAGGTATCAGCCTACCTCGGCTTCCCAAGGGCTATGATTATGAGCATAGGCCTTAGTGTCCAGTTTTGTGTGTGTGTGTGTGTGCGCGTGCGCGCGCGTGTGTGTGTACATGTGTATTAAACTCTCCCTAGTCCTGCCAATCATTTTTTAGGCACTGAGATCTTAGGTGCCCGTTAGACTCTGAAGCTGAAGCGGGTACAACAATTATTTTTATCTCCATGTGAGGGTGCAGTCGATCATGGTAGGTAAGGCGCGATGGTGTGGGTGTGAGACAGCTGGTCACATTGTCTCTTCAGTTTGGAAAACAGGTTGACCACTGACCAAGCAATGACAAGCCTTTAATCCCAGCACAGGTGGGGAGGGGTGAAGCAGAGAACTCTGGGAGTCCAAGGCCAGCCTTGTCTGCATATGAAGTACTAGGCCAACCAGGGCTACATGGTGAGACCTTGGGATTGAGCAGGGAGGAAAATGAGAAAAGTTGATCATCACAGTGCCCCTGTGGCTCCTTCCTTGGTCGCTATCCCCATCCTCCGGTTTATCAGGATGGATGCTGGCAGTGGACGGAGTCAGCCACATCATCCGAGCCCCGCAGCTCGAGACACTCACAGTGCCCACCCTTGATTTTCCTGTCCAAATCTGAAGCTCCCCATAGAGTCTCATTCCCAAGATAAAGTGTTGGTTTGATGAGAGCCTCAAGATGACAGTTCCAATTAAGCCAAGAGAAGCGGGAACCCGAAAGTGGAATTAGACCATAGCTATCCCTGAAGTTTGTCTGGATCCTCATGCTAGCCCAGAGCTATTATTTCAGCAGAGGCCCCTCATTCTCCTCCTGTTGCCCCAGAAGAGTCAAGCATGCAAGGCTTCCCCTTACCGAATCTCTGGTTTGGTTTGTGTCTGCCTCCAGGAAGAGGCCCTGGGTTTGCTGTAAGGCTTCACAACCTCTGCCCAGTTAGCTGGACAGTAAGGGGGAAGTGCTGTAGATTCTTGGTTTCCTGATCATCTTCACTGTGTTGTAGCAACGCTCAGTCTCCCCTTTTTAAAAGACAATTTAAAGTGAACACTTCCTTCATATCTGAAGAGCAATCTGGGCTGGGCCTGTAGGTATCGTTAGGTCACGGCTACAAAGTTTGAAAACTGCTTTTACTTCTGTTCCCTTCTGATTGCCACTGGTGGCTTGCTGGGAGCTGGGCCGTCTCATTTTTGCCAAGTGGGAATATCCCGAGATACAGGACTGTTCCAGCTCGGAAGAAGCTAAAGTCAAAGTCAGAAGCTGAAGCCTTGATGTGTGAAGATACCCTTTTAGCATGAAGCCAAGAATAAGGTGAACCAAAAACTTTGGCAACATCCTGAACTGAGTGTCTGTGGTTACCATGTGCTGCCAAGGGCCTTGTCTGGGTCCATGACCCTATAACGGACAGGATCTGGATTGACATATATGGCTCCTGTTGCCACCGAGGGCCATAAGGATGCCCAGGATCAGGTCAGTGACCTGAGCCCAGGTTAGTGTCCAAGGGCCTTGATGCATGCAGATCTAGGGGGCCTGTGCTGCTACTCAATGCCATGGTGACATCCCAAGCAGAACTTGGGTCATATAAATGGTCCTACTGCAGCCAGGGTCTGTGCTGATGACCGAGGTTCCTGTTACCACTGAAGGCTGTGCAGACACCAGAGGTCTAAGGTCATGTCGGTGTCCCAGAGACACACTGCCTCTGGGACCATGCCAATCTTAGTGACCTGAACTGCCACCTTGAGAATTGGTGACATCCAGACCAAGGGCCATGTCTGGGTTTGTGGCCCTACCGAGTTGGGATCTGTCTGAGTTCCACATTGCCCCCAAAGCTCACATAGTAGCCCAGGGTTGGGGCTGCAACCTGAGGCCTCTGCTGGGAGAGCCATGTCTGGGTCCGTGGTCCAGCTGCAGTTGGGGTCCGTGTTGATGTCTGTGGCCTGTGTCACCTCAGGGGGCCTTAGGAACCAATAGAGATGAAATCACAGGGCCATGCTGAGCCGGCCTGCCCTTCGCTGGCCCAGGGAAAGGTGGCCTTACCTCTCATGGGACACAGCAGCAAGAGAACTGGCTCTGAGCCCTGCAGGAGAGATGGCTCCTGCAATCGGGAAGCTGGCCCCTGCAATCGGGAAGCTGGCCCCTGCAATCGAGAGAGCTGGCCCCTGCAATCGGGAGACATGGCCCCACTCCTCACTAGAGGGTGAACCAACCCTGAGGGAATGGATGGAGGGGAGCTAACTCTGACCCTTTGCCTGAGGCAGGTGGCCCCAGAGGCCTGAACTGACCAACTGACCACCCAGGCCCACAGCCAGGCCTTGGGCTGGCCCACCCCATCTAGCCCATCTAGGACTTGCTGGAGCTTGTGAAGGGACTGGTGCTGGGGAACAACACCTTCAGGATCTCTACGACCTGGAACAGCCGCAGGATATCCCTCCCAGAGGAGTTCCGGTGAGGATCCAGTGAGGATGGTGTACCAGACACCAGAGGCCTTGAACCAGACCAGGGGCTCATTGTAGTGAACATTTGTTAGTAAAGCTGATAGGACAAGAGGGTCATACTGTGGAACACTCCAAGGTCCCCAATGGCAGCAGCGTGAGTGACGAGGTGTTGGAGAGGCAGGAAAGAAAGAGGTTTTAATGTGGAGGGGGAGGTGCTGCTAGGGTGAGAGATATGGGGGGTACCAGGAGGTGGGTGGAATTGGGGTGCATGATGTGAAACTCTCCAAAAAATAAATAAGTCAAATTTTTTTAAAAAAAAATGGCTACAAGTAAGTAGAGACCCAACCCTGGTTTCAGGTTTGGAGATGAGTGTGGCAGGGATCTTCCCATGAAGCCTGCCGCTAGCCAACACCCTCTCAGTGAAACCAGAAAGCTAACTAGGGCTTTTTATCTAAATGGAAAAGGTACAGAGACGCCCAGACAAATTCAGAGATGGCTTTCTCCTCTTCCCTATGAAGACACTGAACAAATGTAGATGCCAACTAAGTACATGGCTTTATTACTTGGATTTTTTAAAAAATAAATCAAGTAGCCGGGCGGTGGTGGCGCACGCCTTTAATCCCAGCACTCGGGAGGCAGAGGCAGGCGGATCTCTGTGAGTTCGAGGCCAGCCTGGTCTAGAAGAGCTAGTTCCAGGACAGGAACCAAAAAGCTACAGAGAAACCCTGTCTCGAAAATAAATAAATAAATAAATAAATAAATAAAGTAGAAATAGAGACTAGCCTACCAAATGTCACCAAATGGCTGTCTGTTCTCCGTGTGTGTGTGTGTGTGTGTGTGTGTGTGTGTGTGTGTGTGTGTGTGTTAGAGATTCTGCAGCTCAGA